TTTCGACTTATGAGTACACATTGGCCAAGAATTTCGTTATCGACCTAATTAAATGAAACGCAGATCATAATCTCCTACTATCTAAGAGTGGCTAATTCTCTATTGGTCATTCACAACTTTTATACGATTCTTGACATACCCGAACAATGTTGTATTAGCGGCCCTTGGCATAGCAACATCCAACACCGTCAAAGTATAACTGTCCTCATATAAGATATTATGACGACCTCAAGTCAAAGGACCAATCCCACTATCGAACATTAGAGATTAACCACTAACACTCAAATAGTTATCCATGTGGAATCTCCCGGTGGGTCTCCAATATTTTGTTCTATAACAAAACATTCACGTGTTCATTTAAGTGTCCCCACACTTTAACTTGTAAGATCAGCTACTTACTTCACAAGTAAGAAATGCCACACGTGATGATCTATCCATAATAACGATATTCATATCTCGTTATTACTTACGATCACGGACGATTTAAGATTCAATCACATGTAATTTGTATCTCACAATCACAACTCCTTCTGATTAACAAATTACGAATATTTGAATCAACGGACTCTATTATTTATTTAATTGTCTATTAATTAAATAATAGATCTGTCATTAAATTGAATGAATTATATATCAAAAATATTTACGTTCAAGGTTGATTGGATTTAGGGCATAATTTTTACAGTTATTCTTTACAAAAAGAAGAGACTTTTGTGTGATTCTATTCATCAAAATTAGCTTAGAAAAAAAATGCCCTTTCTCGATAGTATTTAAGACCGGCCATCATACTGCTCATGCTCACATATTGTCAAAAGAACTTTTAATGTTACTGCTAAGCCATATACATCGTAACTAAACCATATTTGCAATTGTGGAACTATATTATTCGTGGATGAAAAATATTGGCGGGACAAAAATATATGTATTATATTAATTTTAAAAAATTCAGAATTTCTATATAATTTGAAAAATCTTAAAATTATTGATGGTCGGTCGTCACCTCGCATCCGCCTCTGCATATTCTTGTAATTTGAGTAGTTTTAAAATATTGTACTTGTTAGAAATTTATTATTAATTATTTGCACGAATAAAGCTTTTACCTAGTCATTAAGGAGTTCGCTATGTTCTACTTAGTCTTTAGGATAGTCCTATTCTATTTGTTTGTCAGCAGATTTTTTGTAAATTTAGTTGGGCCATATGACTATAAATAGCCCACTCTCTAAAGGTTTTCAATACACTCAATTTTAGGAAATTACATAAGAGCATGTGTTTAAAATTTCGAATTCAAAATTTAGGTGGGTAGTTTATACAAACAAAAATCCGGTATCCATTATTTACCCACCCGGCCCAAACACAAAACCTAACCTTTCCCCATACCGTCTCTCTCTCTTTCTCTCTAAACACACGAGTCACTCTCTTCTCCCTGATCTCTCTTCTCTCTCAACGAAACCTCTTCGGGAAGAGGATCTCCGACGTAGCAACGTCACCACCACTCGTCGCGAGTAGTGATGCTATGAGCTGTGCGCTTCTGTTCGTATAACATGCCTTGATCTAAGCAGCTCTTTCACATCACCGTGAAGATTTGAGCCCCATACACATTGATGCTTGGCATGGCTTTGGGGTGGTCTTTAGCCAGGAATTTTATTTTGTGGTGGTTGTAGAGTAATTTTGGTTTTGTGTTTGGATGGTGGTAGTGGTTACTAGCTTTGGCAGTGAGGTTGAGGTGGTGATTGTGGTGCCAATTTTGGGCGGCGTTACGTGCAGCGTGAGCTTTGATGCTGCAGCGATGGTGGTGTTTTTGGTGGTCGGCCCATGGCTTTGGGGATTTTTTGGGTGAAAATTGTTGTTTTGGTGTTGTTGAGATGGAAATCTAGTGGTGCTGGTTCTGTCAATAGCGTGACTGAACCGTTGGTGGTGCAAGCATTGGTGATGATAGTGCTATAGTGATAGTAAATTGGTGTGTTTTTTGTTGGTGCGGATAGTAGCGGTGGCAGTGGGTGGGGATGAAATTGGGGTGTTTGTGACCAATTACTTGGGACTGTGACCAATAAATTGTATAATTTGTGACCACGTATTCAAATGTGAATTGACATTTTGATAACATATGACTAAAAAATAATTTGTGACCATGTAATTTGTAAATATATGACCAATAAATTAGTTAATTTGTGTCCAAGTATTCTATTGTAATCTAAAAATTTGATAATATGTGATTGAAACATAGGCTGTGACCAATTAATTTGAAAGTCTGTGATCGACAAATAGACTATGACCTAAAAATTGTTTGAATTGTGATCGATGAAATAATCTATGAACGAGGAAATAATATGTGATCAATTAATTTGACAATATATGACATTGTGACCTATGAGTATGCATGTGATCTATAAATATGTATCTGTGATCATTATTTGTATAATTATGATCTTGATATATTTAATTAATTAAATATTTTAATTAATTAATAAATACATCCAATATCACTAGCAGTTGAGGACAAATTCGGCAATTAGGGTGTAAATACGTGAATGTTGTTGGATATGTGACAGACATTTTTATCCCAACCATTTAAATTGCATTTTTTAACAGGCTAAATTACGATTTTCATCCGATCTAGACAAGCACTGATTTTGCATATTTGAACTTATAGGCGTAACAGGCTTGATATTTGAATGGCCCATACTTAAAAGCTGAGTTGTGAATTCTTCCCTTCAGTTTTTTCATTATTTTAATTGGCTTTTGATCTTTTATTTACTCCATTTAAAGAACGCAATAGTTTTATTTGCTTGTAGTAGCCTTTCTTTGCTTGCATATGCAAATTATTTTAGGAAAAATTGCAGTAGTGATCCCTAACCTTTTAGTTTTTTACAGACTTTACCCTAATATTCATTTTGTGCTATCGAAGGTCCCTAACCTTTCATAAATATGCACATGAGGTCCTTCTGATTGGAAACCGTCCAAAACACAATCAGTTGATCTGAAAAATTATTTGAACTATCTGCTATTGCGACGATTTTATTAAATGATGACACCTTTTTGGACGGTATTTTGGACGATTTTATTGGATGTTGATTCCTTAATTTTCCTGGTCAACTGACGGTGTTTTGGACGATTTCCGTCCAGATAGACCTCAGGTGCATATTTATAAAAGGTTAAGAACTTCTACTAGCACAAAATAAATATTAGGGTAAAGTCTACAAAAAATGAAAAGATTAGGGACTTGCAATTTTCCCATTATTTTCTGGCGAAGTGCATAATTATTTCTTGGTATTTGTTTAAGTACACATTTTAAGAACTTATAAAAAATCATAATGCTCATGTAGTTTTTCTACACTGATTATGGCGGGGTGATTATCAAAAAGGTTAGATCTTATAAAATTTTGGGCGTTCAAGATGTAACATTGATCAAAACTATCTGACAGAATTAATTCAGAAGATGTCTCTAGTTTAATATATTATTAATCTGAAGAATAATTTATTGAGTGTTGATCAACTCGTGAAGATATGTTAGATTTTCATTTTGTAGAAATATGTAAGAAACATAAAAATATCCATGAAAAAGAATTCAAAGACGCGGTGTTACAAATTTTAAAGTGTTTTGCTAGGAAAATAGGGCGGTTGGCCGCCTCCGTTACCGAACCCTATAAAGGGCAGGGGGGGTCCCCTTTTTTTTGCGGGACCCCAAGGTTTCTATGATGGCCTCCCTCTTACTTCACCAAAATTCAATTTTAAAATATTTACTAAAATTGAGGTTGTAAGTGGAGCAGCTGGAGCTTGTCAACAATGTCGGCTAGGAAGGAACATGATGGCAATTTGTTTCCAAAACTCGAATATTTTTTATTGTAGCGTATATTTTTTTAACCTTTTTTTTGTTGTTGTTGTTGATTTTTTTTTTTTTTTTCACTACATTTCAATAATTAACATATGCTACCTCTAATAATGATTTCTATCTCAAAAGTTTGTCAGTAGAATGTAAAATAACTTATTTGTTCATCACATTTTAAAAATAAAAATAAATACAAAAAATTGAAAAAAAAGTTATTATAATATAAAATATTATTAAAGTCTTGATGTGCTAAATAATGGGAGTTTAGAGATAAAAATTTGATGAAAAAAACTAATGAACATAAGTGTTAGTGAACAAGTGTTGACCACTTGAAGTGTAACAACAAGGGCACATCCTGCGATTTACCTCTCTGAGCAGCTGAGGGATAGGAGGTTCAGGGACAAGGATCTAGTCGGACGCAAGCCCGGACACCTTGTGCAAAAAAAAAATATTGTGCAAGCCCCTCAGGGCACATCCCAACTGGCAAAGATAAGGGCGCTGCAAGATTGGCAGATCAGAGATCGTGAGTTCGATTCCTGAAAAGCTCTTGGAAGGCAGATATTCTCCTGTAATGCAGGAACTCTATTGGAAGGCAAGGTGCAAAGATGGGAAATACGACTTGCTTGGCACTTTGGTAGATTAGTTGGGGGGCTCTTGAGCACTGGTCAGTTTGGGGCATAACCTGCGGTTTAACCTGTCTGCAGCTTGAGGGGTCAAGGTGTAGATTCCAAGATTTAGTCACTGTAAAGTGGATACCTGGATATAAAAAAAAAAATTGTGAAATACATAAAAATATGCTGTAAATATAATTATCATTGAGCTTTCCCAATTCCCTTTTTTTGTTAAAACTGTATAAACCAAATTAAAATAATAAGATATTATCTTCAAATCAATAATAATAATAATAATAATAATAATAATAATAATAATAATAATAATAAATGCAGACTTGTTAAAAAAAAAAAGCTTCAATTTTTATATAGAGTGAAAAAAAATACAAGATGATGGTGAGAGAGTAATTAGCGCCAATTAAATGAAATTTAAATGGATAAAAACCTATTAATGTGTGGAGTAACAAGTCAGTATTTAATTAGAAGGACAATTATGAAGGCTGAATTCTTTATAAGTGATGCAATTGAATCTACATACGTGGCAGATCATCTACCATTCCACATACCTGCATGCTAAATGTTCAATGAATATGCCACAAAATTATAGCATTGTATTTCGAATAAAAAAGGTTGAATGCATCATTGGTGCCTTAAACAAAACGAAATGCCCACGTGATCGTTGAAACTTGTGAAAATGCTCTCATCACCAAGCACACCGATTTTCTAAATTACTCCACTGCTTCTACGGAGCTCTCTCTATACATAGTAAAATTGCAAAATTAATGAAACAAAGAAAATGAAGAGGCAAAGGGAGAACCTCCTAAAAGAAACCAAGGCGGCAACACCCACAAAGTCGACAAAAAAGGGTTCAAGAATGGGGGTGGCGATGTCGAAAGAGGCGGCGGGGAAGCCGATGGAAGATCAGAAGGAGCTGGAAGCCAAGGAAAGTAACATGACGGCGGTGGAAGATATGATGGAATGGGATGAATGGGGAAGTTTGTGGAGTGAAGTGGATGAGCAAATGTCATGGGCTACATGTTGGTGTCCGTTTTGGGATATGGAGTTTATTGGAGATGCTTATTCTGAATTGTATAGTGATGTTTTGTGGGATGATGATATTTGGGACTTGAAGGGAATTGATTTTACGGTGAATAATGTTATTTATAATTAGTTCAGATCACATTATTAGTTTAGGTAACAATGAATCTTCTAATTTTCTATCTTTAAATTTGGTTAACCTATACTGATGATGAATAACGTTGCTACTTTAACAAAATTTATGAATAATAACTAGGGTACTTGTTATAAACTACTTGTTTTGAATTTGTTGTTATGATATCGAAATCAATTATGGAAGTTTTTAATCTTTCATGAACCCCAATTGATCTCTTAACAAAAGTTTGAATGCAGTTGTCGATTTCCAGTTTGATCTTACCTTGAATAAGAAAGTTAGACAGCTAAAATTCAAACATCACTATCTCCAAAATGGTCAAGATCAAGTTAAAAACTATGTGATTGATGTAGAATCCACAAACTTAGAAACTGGTAGAATGCTTAAATTTAAGTTGCCTAAGATCTAGTAGTACAATGGAGAAGACTCTAATGACCATCTCGAAACCCAACTTTCGTAGATGGAGTTACATGAAGATAAAGATCGTGGACAAAAATATAATTCATTATTTAATTAGATTTTTCCTTTTATAGATTTATTACATAGACAACATTGGAAAAAAAAATAATAAATAAAGTGGAGTCCTTCTAAAAAGATTTTTGGACAGTCAATGTAAAAATTGCTTTATAGGGGCCCCTAGTAGTAGAAATTGCTTTACGCACAAAGTCATATTTTCAACCAATCTCACATTGACGCTGTGCAAGACACGAGATACAATAAGACTAGTAATAATTTTAAGTATCACTAGTGATGTTTAAATATCAATTTAAATGGTCATAATTGATAAGTTCAATTAAATAAATTATCTCCTCCGTTCCATTTATATAAGGGGCATTTGCAAAAATGTCCAATTTGATATATCTCAATTAAAAAATATCCACTTTTGATAATCTTTACAAAAATGGTCAAATTTAGCATCAAATTCTTCATTTTACCCTTAATAAAAGAATAAATAATTTTCAACTTTTCTTTTACAAGTTGACATTAATATCAATATGAGCAATGACTTCTATGAGAAGCCACAATAATTGTTGCTATTACCCATACTTGTCCACTTGCCTGCACTTTTCTTTAGATATTAACAAATTATTTTTGGAAAATTGAAAAGCATGAAATAGCAAGCATTAACAATCAGAAAGAAATCTATGGTTTGTACTCCAAAAGAAAAAATAATTTGTTTATAGCGATAATTTTAATGTCATACAAATTTGAATTCAAGTAGGCTCTCCTCATTTTTGGGCAGAAGGTATTTTCTTTGTTATTTGATATTTATTGAAAAGTGATTTGCCGTAATTGTCGTTATATATTTGATTTAAATATGGTAGATTGTCATAATAAGTAGTAGATATTTGTCATAACCTTCTTACATTACATAGTTACAAAATAATTGAAGGTACTCTTGTAGTTAAAATGTCATTAATTGTAGCATAAATTCTTTGCAAAAATGGTAGTTGAAGATGAAGAAGATGATAAATGCATATAGTGAAGTGGAATCTGTCATGTCACTCTCGACATTTTATAGACGTCGAGAATGATATTTAAAATGTTGTTCTCTATAATTACAAATGTCGAGAATGTTACTTTTAATGCCATTCTTGTCATTTTAACAATGTCAAGAGTAACATTACAAATATCATGATGAAATTATGGAACATTTTTTTGTATATTACTTGCGGATAATTAGTATATTCGTTTGAGGTATTCGTTATTAGTTGATACTATTTTTTGTTTATGGCATGCAGATATGGTTGATGTTATGAGATTCGTCATCTCTTACGGTGGTACATTCGTCAACATTGATGATGAGTGGAAGTGGTTAGGCAACCGAACAACATCAATTGTTGTCTGACGTGATATTGAATATGAAGAGCTTGTACATAAATTATTTAAGAAGCTTAATAGTGACATATTGCAGTTTCGGATTCAACTAAAATTTAAAATTCCAAACATGAATGTACTTCTTGCTGATGTAGCCGACGATGAGGCTTTGCAATGGTACATTTCTATTCACACACAAGCAGCTTTGTGTGTAATTGCAGATGAATATGATGCTGGAGAGAAAGAACTGCATGTCAAGGATGGCACGTCCTTTCCAATAGAAGATGCACATGAAGCAGTCAGTGTGTGCGAACTACAAGAGCAAAAAATGATTGATAACACGGGTGTAGGTTTAGGTGAAGAGAATTTGTATATTGAAAATACAATTCAGTCGATTGATCAACAGGAAATTCACGAGAATCAGATATTCTTTACCAAGAAACAGCTGCACACAAGACTTAGACTAAATGCTTTCATTTCAGGGTCAAGAAGTCTAATCCCAAATCTCTTATTGTGTGCTGCATCGACACCACGTGCCATTGGCTACTACGAGTCTCCAAGATAAAAAGTATAGACTTCTTTAAGATTTGAAGGTACATACCTGTGCACACATGTTCTTTGGATGTTCGATGGAATGCACAAATTCATGCAACGAGTGCATTGATTGAGCATAACATTACCAGACGATTGGCCGATGGAAACCAACCAGACGTTCCCGTAGGTATTGTAGAGGATATACAACGTGAGTTCAGTGTACAAATTAGCTACAGTAAAGCGTGGCAGGGTAAAGAGAAGGGACTTCGAATTCTTCACGCTTCACCTGAAGAGAGTTGTCAAAAATTGCCTTCATACTGTCACATGTTAATTGAGCGAAACCCAGGAACCGTCGCACACATTGAGCTCAACCCCAATACCAGGTTCTTCTACTTTTTCTTAGCATTCAGACCGAGCATATGTGGTTCGAGAGATCATGAGGTCGGTAATTTGCGTTGACGGGAGTCATTTGAAGGGTCGGTATAACGGAACACTCTAGTAGCTGCAGCGCAAGATGCCAACATGCAAATATATCATATTGCTTGGGGTGTTGTCGATGGGGAAACAAATGCATCATGGTATTGGTTCTTCACGAAGTTGAAAGATATTGTTGATAATTCAAATAAGCTAGTGTTTGTATCCGACAAGAAGAACAGCATTAAGCGAGCAATTACGATGCTTTTCCTGCTTTCACACCACGGTGCCTTCATATGGCATATCGATAAAAATGTCATTGCTAGGTGTAGTAGTCGAAATGTCATATTCCTTTTCAAAAGTGTAGCACTCACATACCGCGTATCAGAATTCCAGCAAATGATGAGACAGATTCAGACCATTCGGCCAGTAGTCGCATCTTATTTGGAACGTGGTGGTCCATCTACTTGGTCATGGGAAAATTTTATTGGTAATCGGTACAACGTCATGACTAATAACATTGCAGAGTCATTGAATTCAGTCCTCAGGCGGCAACGAAGTTTTCCTATAACCTCGTTCGTCCAACACATTACAACATTAATGCAACAATGGTTCTTCGAGCGGAGAGATGCATCTACCAACTGTCATAATACCCTGACATAAAAAATGGAGGGAAAATTGAGACAATCTTTTGACGCCAGTACAACCTTGGATATACGAAATTTGGATGAACTCGTTTTCGAGGTTAGCATAAGTGCAGAAATGTGTACTGTCGACCTTATAGGTAAGACATGTTCATGCCGAGAGTTTCAGATGTGACAAATTCCATGTGCATATGTGTCCTGCGCCGTATGCTCAAAAGGTATATCACTGTACGACTTGTGCTCCCGTTACTACACCACGGAGTGTTGGCAAGCTTTTGACACCGAACTTCTTTACCTCGTTGGAATGGAGTCAGATTGGGTTGCTCTCGATACTATTAATTCCATCAACATTTTGCCTCCAAATATACGTATAACACCAAGTCGTCTTCCTACCCAACGTAGAAGGTCAAGAACTAAACGGTCTACCAGTACCCAAAAATGTGGCCAATGTGGTGGTTCCGGACAAAATAGGCAAACATGTAGGAACTCGAAACAGAGAAGTAACATTACCAGTGTATTTTGTGTATGAAATCATTTGCTAACATGGACTATCCATGTGTTCAATAGATTTTTGTACATTTTATGATTTATATCATTTTCTTTCCAAATGTAATTCGTAGAGTTCGATTTTGTGTATGAAATGATTCGCTAACATATATTATCTACGTGTTGAATAGATTTATGAGCATAACATGCTTTCAGTCATTTTGTTTCTGAATGTCATCGGTAGGGTTCGATTTTATTACCACGTAATTTCATGAAGACAAAAGTTAATAACTGCTTCAGTACTGTAATTTTCTTCGTTATTATATACACAACTTGGTAATGGATGCAAAAGAAAGCCATGCATGACTCGTTTTCTTATGTCACTGGCCATACTAAATAGTCGTCACAATAAAAGTAAAAAATCACTATGTAGATGTTCGAGGTCACTGCACATACAAATTGGTCGTCACCACAAAAATTATCCATTATCAATATACCTATAAATATGTCATTGGATATGCTTAGACATTATAAATATAAGATCGAACCTTCTACATGTCCTCCACAACCGACAAAGAGGACATAACATTGTCATTGTCATCGTCGTCGTCCGAGCTTATCACTATCACGTCATCATTTTTGATCGGAATCGCCTCGAAATTATCGTCGTCCACCAATGCTTGGTCTGCTTCCGGTGGGACCTCCATTGGTACGTTCTCACAATCGACGTTATGATTACCATCTTCAACATGTAGCGGCTCAATTTCATCGATTTGATTAGGGAACGGAATGGGGTGAAGGCAAACCCTACGACAGCGATTCGTTGCTTGAAGAATATATGGAACAACGACATTAATTTCTTCATCGGCTTCTGAGTCGATGATGATGGGGTTAACCGCTGAAAAATCGGGTACGAATACATTCATGACAACATCAATATGTGGAGTCCGTTCAGTTGATGAAGACATATTCACCGGAAGAACTTGTTCACGTTAATATTTTGTTCAAAGAAACATGCTTGCATATTGAAGCCAATTCCATTATTTTATAGTGAACACTGAGGTGTGCATTACTACATTAAAAGTCCTCACACCAACTCCACCTATTTGTATTTACATTTGATTGACATGCTGTTTTCCCATAATATCTCCTACTTGTCCTATTCGTCAATCTTAGCCTCCAATTCGCCCATTTTCATTCCATTGTTAATACTTGG